AAATCTGACTATTGGTGAAACAAGTCTAGAGCAGTGGAATGCCTCCCTCTCCAGAAAATCTGAGGTTTGTAGAGCTCTCTCATAATTATCACTACAATGTGAAATATGAATTCTAGGAAACCTGGCTGAGTGTAATCTCTTTGTATTGTAAGACAGTGCAAATATTTCCATAACCTGATTAAAATCCAACATAAATCTAAAAAATGACAAGGCTTTTACCACTTCCAAAATCTCACTGCTCTAACTACAAGTTTCTTAAAAATTTCAGTTTAAATGTATTCATTAAGTGGCTAAGCAACTTAAGCCATTTCCATTGTTTAACCTCTGAAATTTTCCCTGTACATGTTTACCCTCTCTTCATCCTTCAGAGACTGAAGTTCTATAGTGTTTCAGCTTTGATTTTCCTGTTTTAAACACGCACATATTTTATTTTCTGAACTACAGTAATTAGCTAATATGACAATCAGTGGACTACATATTATCCTTTTTCTGAACCAGTTCAGGGTTAAGCCATTCTTCTTGAATCTAAAGAGCCACAATAATGCATATGATTTCAGATGACGGCTCTCACTTTACCTTCCAGATGATGTCAAAATATATTATGCAAAAGTCAAAATCTTTCAAACAGCTCTTTCAGAACCTGTCAACATAAATATGTCCTTGGTTCAATGTGACTATATGTTATGAAGTAAAAACAATGCCCAGAACTTGGAAAAGTAGTGACAAGTTCTACAAGCCTTCAGGCTTAAAATATGAAATGAACTAGGATAAAGTTTATTTATTTCTCAGCGAGAACTCTTTTCAACAAGTACCAAACAACATGGTTAGAAATGGAAGGGCTCTGCAATATTGTCTCCAACAGTAAACAAAACACAGTGCCAGACATTGTGCATATTGCCAGCCTTTGGAGTTACATCTTCTTTACTGACAGTTTGGTGGTAAGTACTTTGGCAAGCAATTCTTAAGCATAGTTCAGGCTCAGTGCGAATGTAGACTGTTCTCAACACACAGTTGTGTGCATACCACCTGTTTTAAGTGAAGAATTTAATAGACTGCATTCTGGCTGTTCTGTGCCACCTAGTTTCAGTGGCAGTAAACATCCCCTTAAGCAGTTAATTAATTAGTTAATATACAGTCTGTTCCATCACCATGAAATGATCTGAAAGAAAATGCTTGATTCTTAGCATCAGAAAATTCTGTTATTAGCATGGTCTGTAAGAATATCCTTCACCTCTTTTTAATGTCTTATAACTCCATTCTAAAAGTAAGTAATCATTACAGAGATTAAAATGACATTAATATCTCTGTACAAAAACTATTTTATTAATCTTTAAGTTGCTGGTTTTTTTCCCCAGCTTTGATGTACTGTAACCAGTGACATGGGAGCCATGAGGAGATGAGTAAGTGTGGTGCTGGGTGGCAGCACACTCTGGACACCTCCAACACCCACATTTCTGTCACAAGCAAGCTCCTAGCTCTGTAAACTGCCTTTTGAGATATATCCTGTAACAGTACATATGTTACATGGAACAACTGGAGAACTTGTCCAAGTTTTCTAGGCTGTGAAATATTGTACATTAGGTAAACTCGCGTGAGGGTCAAGTCACACTTAAAGAAACTCTGAGCTGTATCTCAGCTAGGATGGTCCCTATCAACACATAAGCTTGTTATATTGAAATTTTAGCTATAACAGTTAAGTAAGCAAAAAAATCTAAGCATATGAATGTTTTAAGACATCATTTAGTACACAACTTAATGAACAATACAAAATTATACTGTCATTTTAAACTCTCTTTCCCCATTGAAAGTACTTTCTTTTAATACCAAAAGTTTACTGTCTTCCTAAAATACTCACTCTTGAGAAAACAGAACTCTAACAACCATGTTTTAACTGCCTACAGATTTTTCAAATGAAAACACTTCATATAAAACAGTACTGCTACTGTTAAACCCAGTTTAAATTAGATTTTCCGCTTACTCTTTGTATGTTCCTGTTTCAGAATCTTCAGTCATAACATCGTGCAGTCCTTCCACTGAAATGTTGATGATACCACAAAATTTATCTTGGATAACACTGTAAAAGAACAAAATTTATTTTGGATAACGTTGGAAAAGAACAGGAAAGTGACTTAGCTAAAGGAACTGCACAGGAAATTTGCTCAGTTGTAGAGTACATTTACCGAGAGGTATTTTCCTTGCTTACTGCTTAGCTGAGCATGCTATCAAGCAATCAACTCAGCACTTTTTTTTTTCATTAAAAAAGGGTTCAAAATATTATTTTAAAATATAACAAAACTTAATGTGCCACTGAAAACCTAGAATTCTTGCAAATGGAATAGAAGAAAATATATATAAGCACGGAAGTCAAGAACTGAGTGGGAAGGGCATGCTCCTGCAAGCAGGGAAGAGAGTAGCAGCTTCTATTCCCAACACATTTACACCTTTTCTACTATCACTATTCAATGCATAAACCTACACAACTCCTTAACCAATGGCTGCCTACAAAGAAGGTACACTCCCCTACTTACCTGCATTTCTTCACCCTCAGAGGTAGTCAACTCCCCAGAGTGGGTGGAAAAACCCTGCACTCAGTTCTGCAAGAATGGGACATTCCTAACTGTACAGAGAGAGGGCAACAGAATTTATCTATTTAAACACGGGCACTTTCTGCCATTTGACACATAAGGCTATCTAATACTAATGCAAAGGGCGGGTAGACATCACTTGGTAGTTAAAAGGCAGGAGTACCTTTAGTCAACATGACCTGAAGCCTTGACTAAATAGGCCACAATACCCAAAATTATTACACTGAACACATTTACATTTTCCCCTGCCTTGAGAAAGGATGTGCCTGTGGGGTAAAGGCATAGAAACACGATCTCCCCGTGATGGATGAAGTAGTTGCCACCAGTTAGTTAATCTCCTAGTTAATGGAGAGCAGCCAACTGCTGCTCCACTTCCTGCTACTGTAGATCTAATGCCAGAGACATGCTATTGTAGAACCTGGGTTCTCAGACTCCTACTCTATAACTGTGAAAGTGTGAAGATAAACTGCAAGTGAAAAGATGTTCATCTCAGGAGTACCTCTAGCTACATGCAGCAAAGAAAGAGAAAGGACCTAACTGGTGAGAGTAAACTACAACCCTTTTCCCGTGACTGACACTGACTGAAACACTTTATTGCTCCCTGTTTGGAATTTCATCCCGAAAAGATACTGCTGGTGCTGCTCCATAAGAAGCAGAGGCAGAAGCAGACACATTCCATTTATTTACAGGCATCAAACATGAAGTTCATATATTGTACTCCGATTGTAGTTGATCATTGTTTTATCACAGACGAATCTATTTCCTAATATTCTTTCATTTCCTTTTCTTATTTAGGATGAAAACTGAAGACATGGATGAACTGCAGCTCCTTATACGATAGCAACTGCTTTTGAGAAACTTCTTGTAAGACACACAACGAAATTTTACACATATGACAAACAGTTAAATAGCAATAGATGCCTTGGAAAAAATGCTTATCAAGTTAGAGTACTAAGCATAGAAAACATTTCTTTTATATTTGTTTTGATAAAATTATAATTTCATTCATGATCCTTTATTTCAAAGAGATTAGTTTCTGCTCCCTTTTTAAAATTCAGCTACTCTTGTATGCCAGAATTTGAAGTGCATTTTGTATCATCAGACTTGAAACTCCTGAATTCCACAAAATGAAAACTGACATAATCTTTACTGCCTGATTGCCAGCAGTCTGTTTTAAAAGACACTTATTCCTTTGCCAAAAGGCTTCCCCATCACGTTCAGAACAGCAAAGCATTATATGCTGTGAGACAATCTCTGTGAGATTCTGCAGACAGTAAGCAAACAACCCACTGAGCTCACAGCATGGCTGAGAAAGTGAACACTGCTTCAGCCACCTGCACCATGAGCCCTCCAAGACAAAGCAGGTTTCTTTAAGCCAGAGGACCTGCCTAGAACACTTTCATTAAGACTCTTGCCTCATCCTTGTTTTTGAAACACATCTCTAGGAAAATGCCATTAACACGGTTAGTATTTTCCAACATGAGTAAGGTCAGTGTTTTCCAACAAACTGCCCTCAGATTCATGTCAACAGACACGGGGCATTCAACGAAGAACAAATGTGAACACTTTGAGCCCTGAAGAAGCAAACTATGCCCTGTTCCTACACACCATTTAATTATAATACAGGATGCTGTCCAATACCTGTATTATTCCTTCATTCCAAGTTGCATGAATCCCAGAATGGTTTGGGCTGAAAGGGACCTCAAAGGTCACTTAGTTCTGACCCTCCTGCTATAGGCAGGTCACTTTCCAATGGACCAGGCTGATCAAAGCCCCATCCAACCTGGCCTTAAACAGTTCCAGGGATGGAGCATCCATAGATTCACTGGGCAGTGCCTCACCACCCTCACAGCAAAGAATTTCTTTCTAACATCTAAGCAAAACCTACTCTCAGTTTTAAGCTATTCCTCCTTGTCCTATCACTGCAGTTCCTGATGAACAGAGTCCCTCTCTGGCTTCCCTGCAGGCCCTTTCAGATACTGGGAGGTTAAGTCAAGTCTCCACCTTCTCTTCTCCAGGCTGAACAGCCACAACTTTCTCAGCCTGTCTTCATAGTGGAGGTGCTCCACTGCTTTTATTAACCTTGTGGCCTCTGGACTTGCTCCAGAAGTATCAGGTCCTTCTTATATTGAGGGCCCCAGAGCTGGATGCAGCACTCCAGCTGGGGTCTCATCAGCACAGAGTGGCAAAACCATTGTTCTCGACAGTTACTGCAAAAGCACATATGGAAATCATTAATTTATTGGAAAGGATATTCTTTATGACATAAAATGAGGAACAGTATTTTACTTCTTTCTTTAGTGGAAGATTCATGAGAGTCTTTTGGTTTAAGAAAAATAAATTTTAAAATGTAATTTGCCTGCAGCTTTTCTAGTAGATAAGCAGATAAAGTAGATAAACCTTTTCTTTTTTTCTTTTTTTTCCCCTTTAAATGGGACATACAGTTTCTTCCTACCAAAGACCCACTGAAATATTTACCAAATATGGAGCCAATAAACAGTGCAACTATTTCTAGAACACAAAACGCATGTTGGTGAAAAATAAAGACATCACAGACTCAAACTTCAAAAAAAAGAAACCTCAAAGTTCAGTAGCAAAATAAAATGCATCAGGCCTTATTTTCACAGATGAGGAAGCAAGCCATGCCACTCAATGTAATACCTTTTCAAAGAGACTAAAATTAGCCTGCTTATTTCAAGAAATAGAGAAGTCATATGAGCAGATTCAAAGAAGACAAATGCTGTATTCAGATGAATTTTCAAAACAGAACAGTTAATATGTTTCATACCAAAATCTTCAACCTGGAGGAAGGCAGTTACCCCCTTGAATTGCATACAATCCAGATTAGCAATGAAACAAACAAAATCATCAGGTTATAACTGGTTTTATATCTACCCAGTCTTCCTAAATTATTGAGAAAAAACCTCTTTTGGTATGCAGCAGAAACTAAAGGCCCACAATTAGGACCTAAAACACTCTATAATCCAGTTTCAAAGATACAATGACTACATTTTTATTAGAGAAAGGATATTTTATGTTGCCTGTTAATAAAATTCACCATACCAATAAAGGAAACAACATTTAGCGTTCAGGGCAGCTTCCATATGAAAAATCTCAAAATTTCTATTTCAAAGTTTGCATAAGTTTTTAGATAAAATAATACAAGCTTTGCAAAGGACAAAACAGACCTCATATGTTCTGAAAGTGAAAAAGGTAAGGGCTTTTTTTTTTCCATTCAGTCTATAATTCTAATTCATATAGCTATCTACACAACTTACTATCATGAGGTTTTACATGAAAATTCACAATTTTACTTCAATTATATAGCCAAGTACTGTAGACAAACCTGTATCATCTTGTCAAACCATGTCTTGACATATTTTTAATGGTGCTTAAATAAAATGGACCCCATATCTACTTTGCATATCCCTCAGAGGAGAAAAAAAAATCTATATATGAGAAAAAATACTTTTTCAGAGATTAAATGAAAGATAAAACATTTTTTGCTTTTCTACATTCACCAGGATGAAGCAATGAACACCAAGAAGAGTTTGATTTCATATCTTTACTAGTGTACATACTGAGGAAGCTTAATTCTTTCTTCTTAGCTCATTATCCAAGGAAAGAAGTGGAGTGGGACAAATCGAGATGACTGCACATACTGTAAGTGACGTAAATTATTATTACACACACCTCATAGTAGCTGTACAGTTCTACAGAGCTCCTAAAGCAGAGAAGTAGCTAAGAATCTTTCCAGGGGTGTCCTATGACTGACCATAAACCTCATCTTCATGAAGCACCACTTTGCTTCATGAGGAAAGACTCAAACTAAGTCTTCTATAGTATTGCCTAATGATTTTAATACACATATGAACCACACATGTACATGAAAGGGTTGGTTTCCTGGTGTGAACATTTAAATACAAAAGACACTGAGTACTAAAGAAAGGCATTTCCCTCACAACTGCATAAGAAATCTCTCAGTGCCCTGTTAATCTAATCCCTGTGTTGGCAAGCTGGATATTAGAGGATGTCTCCACTCCAAAGGATGGCTTTCAACTGCTCTAACTCTCTGCTGCACTAACAGCTGTGACACCAATTTCCTTCCATGTTCCACCACTACAGAGGGTGAGAAACACCTGGCAAACAACTCCCACAGCAGCTTGTCAGTGAAAAAAGATGCACCTACAGAAAGAACCTCTCATGCCTTTCTGTAAAGAACAGCTGTGGAAACCAGAGCCTAAAATAACAGAGCTATTCCCTGCTGGATTTCTTTGAGAATTAGGTTTATTCAGTTTTTAACCTTTCTGCACTACCAAAACTCCTCTGTAACAAAGGCACAGCAGCATTTCTAGCAAGAAAAACTTAACTAGTTTCTACTGCATTTGAAGTCCATTATTTCTGAAGGTGTCCACACAAAATTAAAAATTTAGAAATATGGCACATAAAATTGCAGAACCTGGTGCAATCATTGATTGTGCAGTTGTTACTAAGTGAAAACAAAGTTCATATTTATCATAAGGAGTTATGTAGGAAAGACAAAGTAACAAAAATGGGTTAAAGAGGAAGAGAATGCAGTGGATTAGCCTCTGGAAAAAAAGTGCATAAATTACAGCCAGTATTTTCCCTTTTTAAACGTATTTGCCTATTATATTTAACATCTGATCTTAAGTTAGAAAATCATTTTAAAAAATAGTTTCTACTCAAGCAATACCAAATAGTTTAAGCTTTTGTCCAAGAAACTGAATTGTGCATTCTCTAGAAGTATTTGATCTGTGATACAGTAAATCACAGTCAAATACAGCATTATTTCATTACCTAATAACAAACAACAATGGAGTCACACTTGCACATTCTCACCCACTCAGTGCAGTCAAGATATCTATATGTCCTGGTAGCAGATAATAGCTTCTTCCCTTCTGGAAAAGAACTGCAGATAGACAAACAGGATGACCGGGACCTGTGCAGCCCGGATATGCACAGGAGCTACACCAGCAGGAAAGAGGAGGGATATGCTGAGGGCAGCTCTGGCTCAGCCAGAGAATTCCACAGGCTCCAGGCTGGGGCCTGGAACACAACATACTTCTACACAATTTAAATCAACACCATGGAGGGAAGTCTATCAAAGCATTGTTCCCCACTTTTCCTTGAGTCTAACTGTAAACTGTGTAACTTATAAACAACACAGCTGAAATCTCTAGGGCAAGGGCTTGTACAAGACAAACAGTTTCTACAAGACTAAGTCTCATTGGCTGAAAGCTTTATAATATTGGACTATTTGGAACATAGTTCTAAGACTTTTAATTCCTGAATAAAGTTTGAATTATTTAAGTAACAAACAGAAGAACAAAAATCGCAGAAGTTCAGGCTGAAAATAAAGGTACAAGATACTAGACATAACATGACAACAACAGGACACCAACATTTGAAATAGAAATAAAAAGTTAAATGCAAACTATATAGGCAAATATCCCTATTTTGAAGATGAAGCCTTCACTAAGAACACATATCTAGACCTGATACCTCCAAATATAAACCAAGTATATAATTTTTTTTCAGCCATTAGTTTAGAATTATGTATTTACAGTGTAGTGTATTTCTTCAATTTGTACCTCTTACCTAGCTAAAAAGTCCCTCAAAATATTACTACACATATAACATAGATGATAATCTTTTATTGACAATAATTAACCAGCTCTGTTACCTCAGACATAATAAATTTGGTTGTTAAACTCTGGTAAATTTCAACAGAAATTCACTTTTTCTTAACTCCAATTTGGGGTATTTCATAAAATGACACAGATACACACTAATAAAAAAGTCACTTTAATATATTCATTATACAGACTGAACATACAACTTTATATATTACAATATGCCATACGTATGAATAGAATTTGTAGAGTTTGAAATTTTTCTCTTACTCGAGAGTTTGAACATGCTAGTTGTACATGTGCTTTTTTTCCACTGTGCATTATTTAACAGAGGAAGAGTAGAAACTCTATTACAGTGAACATACAAAACACTGTTTTCTGATTCCCCAAGATTTCATGGCTTCATGATCCTACTAGGAACTGATGTTTAGCTTGCCATTAAGTAGTGCAAAATAAATTAAGGTGTACTTTATACTGCATAAATACTTGAACACGGATGAACAATTACTACAAACAGGGACTGAGGCTAATAAACCTATCCATGTTAGATTGAAATGACATATAATGAAATAATCAATTTCAAAACATTCAGTAAGCAAACGGTGATGCAGAACCCAAATTGTGCTGTTTTCCACAGTTCTATTAAGCAGTTGATTGTAATTGGTGGAGGTATTCCTACAGAATTGAATTCTTGATTTCTTGACCTTTCATACCACAGTTAACAGCAAATCAAATGAGATAAATTACAATGATGAATGTTCAAACAAGATCACCTGTGCCTGACTTTCAGATGCTGTTCGCTTGAGCAGCCTTATTTGGTCCAGTTCTGAATGTTCCACTGATTTCCGAGTTAGAGACTGCACTGAGTCAGTTATGTTGTATCTGCTAGGCTGATAAAAGCCATAATATTCTATACTCTTTTCCCCTGAGTTTTCCAGCACCTTTAGTTTCTGCCTAAACTGAATAATTTTACAGGTTAAGAACAGGATAACAGCACAAGCCAGAATGAAAAAGGCTAACAAAATGTCAAAAGCTTGATTCAGCTTTTCAACCTGTTGTGTACAAATCAAGGTTGTTTTTAATAATACAGGAGCAGAATCTGTTGTAAACAACTGTTCTTCTTCTACATTTCTATTAGTAGGTATGATTTCTGCTGGTATTTGCACTGGTAACGTTGATAACACTGTAACTGCCTGTGATGGCATTTCAACAGCATATTCCTCATAAGGCAATGGGGTAGAAGATGTAGCTGTAGTTCCTTCCCAGAAAGCAAAATGCTTAGCTTCTGCAGTGACAAACTGCTCCAACGTGCTGTGCCTGTTCCCTTTATGCCAGGCCATCAGCAGGGTGGCAGTGCTGTGATGCACCCCGATGGATCTCAGACTCGGGGCAGAGCCCGGGCCCGCAGTGGGGCCAGTGCAGCTTGAAAACCAAGCCCACTTCATATAATGCACAGGTCTACCACGCATACTCTGGGGATTCTGACAGTGGATTTTTGCAGAAACAGAAGATGATGCTAGCCAATTAAGTAATGCAAGCATTTTGCAGCTGCAGTTCCAAGGATTAGAATGTACCTGCAGATGGGTTAAAGATACTAAGGGCTTGAGCACTTCAGGGTGTAATTCTGTGATATTATTAAATGCTAAACTGAGTACTTTAAGTGACTGCCCCAATTTTTCAAAGGCACCATCGCCAATACTGGCTATTTTATTTCTGTCTAGCTGTAGATACATTAAATTGTTCAATAAAGTAAAAGTGCTGGAATTTATATTTTCTAAATCATTATAACTTAAGATTAGCTGACTAAGGTTGTTTAATCCAAAAAATCCATTTACAGCAACACATTTTAGCTTGACATTTTTCAAAGACAGATATCTAAGCTTGTTAAGTCCCTTAAATGCAAAAGGCTGAATCGATCCAATGGGATTGTGAGACAAAGAAAGTTTTTCAAGATTTTTGAGCTTTCCAATAGCATTTGATGGCACTAGTGCTAAGTTGTTACCTTCAAGAAACAAATGTACAAGATTTTCAAGATGATGAAATGCTGAATCTGATATCCGTGAAATCTTATTATTCGCTAGGTTTAGTGTCTGGAGACTTATCATGCCCCAGAAAGTCCCACTTCCAAGGACACTGAGACGATTTCTCTGAAGTGTTAAATATCTAACAGAAAGAAGATCACTAAATAATCCTCTGGGAAGAAAAGCTATTTGATTATTCTGAAGGTATAAACAATGAAGATTGGAAAGGCCTTCAAAGATTCCTGGATCCAGGCGTTTAATATTATTGCTATTTAGATGCAAGAAGCTGAGTCTGGGGACTTCCACAAAAGCTTTTGGGTGTACATACAAAATGCTTGAGTTATCCATGTAGAGTGCAGCAAGCTTCTGAAGGCCTCTTAGATCATTTGGAGTAACATGTGATATATTATTTCCACTGAGGTAAACAAGAATGGTTGTTTTTGGAAGGTTCCAAGGGATACTCGAAAGCCCTGCATTACGACAGCTAACTTGTCTCCCTGTGCAGAGCTGACAAGCAGATGGACAGCCAAAAGCCTCCTTCTGGAGCAGCAACAAAAGAAAACAATTAAATATATACAGGAATGCTCCTGGGCAGAGTGGAGAACTTTGCAGAACACACATATCCCTGTCTTTGGCCTTCTCACTCATCTCTGACTTCACTAGTAGAGATAAAAAGAAGTACATAAATATTATTATTAATTCAAATATATTCATGATATACATACTAATTCTTAATAATTATTTGAATCTATATGTACAGTCTTAAAAATACTAGCATTGCTCTCAAGATTGGCATTTTACATATTATTCTCTCATGCCAAACAAGCAGTTTAAAACTCCAACTTACTAACTAGATTCCACTGCAAAAGATTTTTGTAAATAAATGGACAATTAAATAAATATACTGATAACATAGCCAGAAAGTATTTAATTGGCTGTAGCATAAAAGCCTCTAAGATGTCAAAATAACAGTTTCTATTAAATTAAAAATACTATATATTAACTACTTCTTACAGTTAACCATCACTAAGAAATGTTTCAAAAGCATTCAAGTAGAAATGCCAACTGTAAGCAAGCTACCTTTTACTACTGGCAGCTCACTTACAATTTGAATTTTACTTTTATAAAGCTGAGTTACATTTAAAATAAATAGAAGTGTTTCCTTACCCCAAATCTGAAGTTCATTATTTCCGTTATTTTGCAGTCTGCAGTCCCCTGGACTATGTTATAAGCTGACCAGCTACACTCATCTGTGAAACCTATGCAAAGGCAGTACTGCTGTGAACTACAGCACTCACATTTTTGCTCCAGGGTTTGCAACAATTTGCTCAGGAAACTAAGAAAGAAGTGCCTAAAGTCAGGTTGCCATGGATACAGGAAACCCTGGGACAGGAAGCCATTTTATCTGTGCTTCAGAAGTATTGTTGGAAAGGAAATCTCAATGATTTGTTTCTAGAAAACCAAGAACTATCTTAGTCTGTAACTGCTGGATTTTGTTTGGGTTTTTTTGGTTTGGGTTTTTTTTTTTTTTTTTTTTTTGGGGGGGGGTGTTTATTTGTTTGTTTTTTAAATCTACTATTTATCTAAGAGAGCTCAAAAGAGTTTTATCTTAGTGAGGTATAACTTTTAAAATAAAGAACAACTATTTGTAATAGCACTGTTGCATTACCTGTAACTCCCTTATATTTCAGAACCTGTAATGCTTTATTAAATCAGAAGCAAGGCTTACACTGCTGTCTGTCTACAGAGCCAAGCGGCAGCAACAGGCACACACATCCCAGTGGTCTGGCCAAGAGGGGTAAAGACACACTCTGGAGGGAAGAGCCCAGTGTCTCCTGCCCTTTGGCAAGGCACAACCTGCCAGCAATGCCAGAGAAACCTATGAAATCTTAGGACATGAGACCCACATGACGTGGCACTAAGCTGCTATGTACTTCTATGTATTTCTGACCTGACCCAAGCACTTTATTAAGCCTCACTTTAGGGCACCGTTTTAAAAGCAAATTTTTCCACAGAGGACTATGAGATGGTTTCTGGTTCTGAGAGCCACACCTTTCAGACACAGCTTTTGTTTCCTGCAGCGTCCCCTGTGCAGAAAAACACTACATGGGCTATAAATATCCCTCTTGCTCAAGGACCTGAGATTACATCCTCAGTTTATCCATCACAGGGAAGAAATACTTGCAAAGCTCAGTCACATCATCAAAGGGGGAAGGGGAGATTAAGCCTACAAATAGCAACTAAAACCGCATGATTTTACTGCAACAAGGCCTTCTGCTCAGCAAAAGAAAGATGACAAAGCCCACCAAGTAGCCATACCCGAAAAAGAGGTGTAACAGCAGGAACATCAAGTCCCTTCAGCTACAGTGATCTCACACAGGAAGCATGAGTTCACATAAGTGGCAAAACGTAACACAAATATCTTTGTCTATATAATCCAATCTGAAATCCAGGACACACATGAGGAAGGGAAGCAGAATAGACAAGGACATGCTTTTGAAGCAGATTTCTTCCAAATATCTAATCTAAAATAAGAAAATAGTAAGTAAAATTGGTCCATGGGCCATTTTAGACAAAGCTGTATAAATTACAGTGCAGAATTAGGACTGCATTTGTTCCTTTTTTGCTGAGACCAACAGATCAACAGGAAAACCAATTCTTCTTCAGATCTGAATATTTATTTTCACACTTGTATTTTTTCACAGTATTTAACATAATAGTTGATATAGAGAAAAGTAAAATAAAATGTCATGCCATTTACTTAAAAGGAAAATCCTGTATAGTTCATAGGAAGGTTGGTGAAGTACCCTGAATGTGGAGGACAGAGCAGTAAGAGTAACGGAAAAAGATTATCAATAGAGTCAGATGAGGAGAAAATCATAAATGGCCAAAAATGGAAAGTTACTTCAAACAGGAAATTATCTTCTACCTAAACTTCATTACCTCTAGTCTCTTTATATTGAAACCTATATGGGTTAAAAAAAAAAAAAACAACAACAAAAAATTATTCTTCCAAGGTGTGCTGTATAGAACGATCCTTAACAGCTGCAAGAAGTAAGTCAATTTTTAAAAAAGTTTTAAAAGGCAAATGTTCATAGAGCTCTCTTTTTGCAAAATGTCAGAAGCAACACATTTTGAAAAACTAAAGGAATTAATGAAGCTCTGTACAGTATATCAGATAGCACCAAAATTTAGAGGAATCAGTGGAACAGTGATCAGATAAAAGAAAGCTGACGACCAGTAAGTGGCTGAATGTCTCTGTGGTCTTGCACTGAAAGTACCTTATGAATATTCACAAAATTTTTGCTTGAACCTCAGCTCTACTGTGGTTCTGAGCACACTGAGGAATCTTCTGACGGCTAAATCCCATGCCCAAAATGGGGGGGAAAAAAAATCTTAATCCAGATCATGGCTCCTTCCATTCTGCACTAGGAAATCTAGAGAAAGCCCGCTTTTACACTTTGTCAATACTGCACCTGAAGACTTGCAGATCTCATTGCAATGTTATTTAGAGCTATTATTTCATTAATATTACATATTGCTAAAGTATCTGAAAGCAGTATCTGTTAGGAACAAGACACAAAATTCTGTGCCACATAAATGATACCATTTTGGGGAAAATTATAAAAAAACTGGGTGGGATACTGTGTAACTTGGATCAGCATTTCTTAAACTGGCTCATCCTTAAACAATAAAATCCATTACCTTTTGAAAACTGTATGAAAGAAACACAGGAAACACTAACAAGCTTAGGCAGCTCTCATATTTTATTCACTGCAAATTTTCTTCTGCAGCAAGAAAACTACTAGGTTTGTACCTGAATACAGCTTCACATGGTAACAGAAAAAATTATTTTTGAACCCACAAATGAATTTTATCTTAATATACTAATATCGATGAAGTTATTAATGCTATTGGCTTTTTAACATTAAAATCTAGTTCAACAATGACTCCTTGTAAATACAAGCATGAAGCCTGAGTAACAGCAATTTGTCAAATTGTGCATAAAATGACAGGTCAAAGTAATTGAAAGATGTTATATTAAAGCCAATATAATGAACATTAGGTAGCACAAACTAGTCATCCGAATTTCACTTATGTATAGCAGAAAACACGTAACAAGTCCAAAAACAGGGTCTAAAGTCAATTCATTCTCAATCTCTGCAATAAAGCCCACAAACTAGGACAACCAATTTTTAGCACTGTAATTATTATTTGAAGTTTATAATTTATTGCCCTCCCATTGTGTATTCAGCAACCATCTGCTCTTGCAGGGCTTTATTCTACTTTTATTTTCCACAGGTAGGCTATTGTACAACTTGATTTTTTCTAATACCTACTTCCTTCTGCCCACATGATCTCTAGATATGACCACAAATCAAAGCAATTCAGGAACTAAACTACTGCTTAGGCAGCCCAGACATCAACATTTAATTAACAAGCAGTAGGCAGGTGAACTGTTGATACCTTATTAACTGATCAGATCCCAAAGCACTTTTCTGTTTTTCTCATTATTTAATTTATCTAAACATTCCTGATTGTCTCAAATATTGCAATTCCTTCTAGTATTTCATATTTCTGTTTCAGTAAGAATCCTGACTTGCTGCTCCATTTACTGAAAATTTCTCTTCCACAGCATGAAAACTACAGAATTATTTTTCCCATTGAGAATAGGAAAATAGGTTTCCATTCTATAAACCTAATTTGATCTTACACCCCAGTAAAATAACATGATAGAAAACTCTCATGAAACTAAAAGCTCACTTAGAGAAATGGTTAGAATTAACTTCTTCTCTTTATTCAGAAATCTAAGTCTTCTATGGAGCAACCACTAAGTTTGTGAACAAAACAGTAACATAAAAAAGGTTGGTCATGAATGTAATGCACAGATGTGACATGCTGACAATAACACTATAGCCTTAGCCTTTACTTTTCACTGCAGTATTTAGCAATTCTGTTCAAACTATGAAAGTATTAATGTACTCAGTATGAATGCAATTCAAATCAAAAGGCCCAAATAACTTAAATTAATTTCCCAAATTTCAACTTCTAGAAATTTAATCAAAACTAAACTCAATTGCAAAACCACGCTCTGCCTGCTAGTTTAGGAGACAGAATGGGCTACACTTGGTATTAGCAACTGATAGCTCCAAATATTTAAAAGAAAGAGAAAACTTCAATAGTTCTTAACAACTACTACAGAGAATACCTACACACAAAATACAAAAGCTATTTCTTAAAAATATAAGCTTTCTTCATACTTAGGCTTTTTCTTAAATATCAAAATCTGATGTTTTGTTTTAAATACTCACTTTCTCATTAAATTGTTGGAATATGAAACATTTCTCAAGACAGTACTTATTTGCAGAAGGTCTTGTAATGACATGGGTTGTGGTGTTTATCACTTCTGGTATCTTATCATAATAGTCTGGCACTGTTAAAGAATGTCACTGAAAAATCTCAGCTACTCTCTGGCAGTCTCAGATTTCACAGTGCACAGCACAGAGAGATAAGCAGATGTACCAAAACGGCTCAAACAAACCCAGGTGCAAAAATAGCTATAAATCTATGTTTTGGGTTCGGGTTCTTTTTACTTTTGTTACAATCTTGTGATTTTTACACACTTTTAGTAATATGCTATACTTCAGTCACTACTTATTCAGTATCTAATTTGCAAACATGTAAACTATACATTGCAAAGAGTCTGAAAGAAGCTAGTTAGTCTGTTATCTTTTGCTGTCTTTTATATAATTAACATCTTAATTTTACAGTAAATCATAATTACAATAGTTTTAGGAAAGACTTCTGAAATATTTTATATAGACCATAAACAAAAACAAGATATCAGCAGCAACCAAACCCTTATGACTGCAGTTCATTTTTTGCAGCAGTTTAGCTGCAATTACTGACTTAATTCCTTGCTACCACTTGGTACATTTTTCCTTGAAATCAAGGGTTAAGGGTCTTAGGGGAAAAGATAATATACTCCTGACCAGTCCAGAGTAGCAATCAAGTGTAGGAGAAAAACTGATGGAGACTGTGAACAAGGGAAGTTTAATGAGTGCATCCTTCTGCCAATGCCATAATGTGACGTGCAATTAAAGAAGCTGGCAGTGCTCTGTGAAACCTTCTGAATATGCAGACTCTGATAGTCAGACTAAGATCAAAGCCACATTTTTCATTCTTATTATTAAAACTGCGCTGTTACCTGTCAGGCAAGCTAAATAAATCCAAGGCCAAACACTGATGACAACTGCAAAATCATAATTTAAAGAGTTCCTTTCAATACTAATAGCCTATTAGAGGCATGGGTGAGCAAACCTTTAACTAGAGAGATTAAAAAAAATGGAGGGGAAGATAAAATAGCTTCAGAGTATCATCTCTATAAAGAAAGGATGATGTACAAGTAATTATGCAAGAAATTCTGATTTTAT